CTCCTCCCAGTTTGGTATCATCAGCAAACTTGCTGAGGGAGCACTCTGTGCCTTCATCCAGGTCATTGATGAATAAATCGAACAGGACTGAACCAAGGACTGACCCCTGGGGGACCCCGCTAGCTACAGGCCTCCAACTAGACTCTGCACCGCTGACTACCACCCTCTGACCTCTGTAATCCAGACAGTTCCTAATCCACCTCACTGTCTTCTCATCTATCCCACACTTCCGGAGCTTGCCCAGGAGGATGTTGTGAGGGACGGTGTCAAAAGCCTTGGTGAAGTCAAGATAGACGACATCCACCGCTCTCTCCTCATCTATCCAGCTGGTCATTCCATCCTAGAAGGCTATCAGGTTAGTCAAGCAAGATTTCCCCTTGGTGAATCCATGCTGACTACTCTTGAGCACCTTCTTGTCCTCCATGTGCCTGGAGACAACGGCCAGTACGAGCCGTTCCATCACTTTTCCAGGGATGGAAGTGAGGCTGACAAATCAATTTCTCAGATACAGAGTCTCAATCTCTGATGAAAAAATCTGCAGATAAAGCAGCTAGAAATTAAGGATATCAAAAGTCTAGGCAGTCAGGCCTGTTTCAAATTCATCTGATATGCAATTGATTACTGCCATTAGGTTTCTATATAATCACTTGGTATGGCAGGTATCTAATCCCGAAAAAACATTCATGCAAACACACTTCTCATGTTAATACTTATACATATATATGTACATATATAAAAACAAACTCATATCCTTATGAGTTTAGGTACCTCTAATATTTACAATTTCAGGTATTTCCTTCAAAAATTATATTGTTTTCTCACAATGAACGTTCTCATTATTTCTTAGGAGGAAAGTTGAAGAGGCACAGACGACATCTAATAAATGGCCATGTTCTCCATTAGCATGCTTTGTATCTGTGAGCTGGGGATCCAAACAGATCTGGCCTCTAACAGCAAAAGTCATGGCATGAGATAGCAGCCAATAAATACACCACAGCAAGGTTCTGAGAGATGTGTTGCTCATGCTTTAAATCAATGACAGAGAAAGATGAGAAGCTTCGCTCAAAGCTACTACTCCCAACAGGTATCAACACATTTTTATCTTTTCTGTGTAAGTTCTCAACTGCCATCTCAGCTACAAGTTGACTGCACCTTATGAGAATCCATCTACAAGTGCACAGGGACAACATGAGCGGTACGAAGGAGAGAAAGTCATAAGACAGTAACAACTGGTCAACAGGGCTTCCACAACCCAGTAGTATCAGCGGACCACTTACATAATACTACAGAAAAAAACTTACAAATAGCAAGAAATTCAAATTTGTCATTGCTTTACTTCAATGGAGTAGCATGCTTTGTAATTGCAACTGTAGCTCATAACTAAATAAGTTGCTGCTGACAACATACTTCTAGATCACAGACCTTCCTGGGAAGAAGATAAACAAGCCCATTCCCAGTCACTTAGGAATACTGGGGATGTATCTTCAATAAAAACTTCCGTAAGACCTAAAGCACGACCTGACAAGCAAATGCGAGCAGAAAAGACACCACGTTTACCCGCTTGGGCCTTTCTTATCCGTAACACCAAGACACAAACTCCCAGCCCGCCTCGCACGGCTCC